ATTTAAAAACATTTTTAAATAGCTTGCCCAAGATAATACAGCATTTCCCACAGTTGTAGGATGCTTTCACATGGCAGGGTATGAAATGATTTGTGGTTCACAAGATGATGGTAAGTAATTTACAAACAAAGCACTGAGTCCTTCCGTGAGAAAGCCATTCCCTTTTCATTTCTCTTCAGTCTTCTGAATCCATCAAGGGGGGCATCTCAGTGAGATGCCAATGGGTCTTTAACACCTCTCCAAATCCTCATAAACCGCCTTTTTAACAAAGAAAGCAGGTATCAGACTTATAGCCATGGACGACAGCAGTAGCTACTAGCTAAATGGTGAAAATGGAATCATGTCATTTCCTCTACACTGAATGTACTTGTACTAATATTTATGAGGAATGGCAAGGAACATTGGCCTTCAATTTGCAAAAGTGATATGAGTCTTCCTTTTCAAAATACTTTAAAGTAAAATTTGTGTTGCTCTAAAGAAAACTATTATGTAAATCCTAATGCCACTACTGTGTGAACATGGTGTATCAAGGGCTAGCCTTGTGCCAAAAACTGCTAAGTATTTCCCATGAATTTATATACTGACCCTCCTGCCAGTGGGAGGTGCAGATGAGGACATGGAGAGGCAGGGAGAATGTGGACCTTGCCCAAGGTCACCGGTTGACTGGACATGGAGTCGGGAATTTGGCATCCAGCCCCCCGTAGGGCCCAGCATCGGAGGGACTAAAGCAAGCAGCACAAGGAGGCGTGAGCCTTAAGCCTTGCTTCTCCCTTGGTAGCACCCTGCTAGACAGGCTGCAGGCTTCTCTCTCCATCTAGCTTTGGGGGCAAAGCCCTCTGCCCCCCTCACCCTCACCTGTCCGGTCCTTCAGGGACCCTACATGAGATGATTGGATTTCTCTCCTTGTCGGTTTGCAATGAAAAACATCACATGCTCAGGAAAGCAGGGAAGAGGGCTGCACCCCATCCAGTGACTGCATCCCGGAGCTGGGAAGCTCTAGAGGCCCCCCAGCCAGGCAGCTCAGCTAGAATCCTTCCACCCACCCTGTGCCCCCTCCACCCTCACAGAGCTGATCTGATGGTCACATGGGTGCCAGCAGGTTGTGAGGCCTGTGACCACCCTGTCTCTCTCCTCTCTCTGGACCACGGGCACCTCGGCCCAGTCAGGGGCTGAACTTACCTACAACCCTGCATCAGAATCACCTGGGGGCTTTGTAAGAGGCAGGTTCTGGGCCACACCCCTCAGCGCATCTGAGAGTCTATGGTGAGGCCTGCAGATCTGCACCTGAAACAAGTCTGTAGGTGATGCTAAGGCATCCCGTATCCCGAAGGTGAACAAAGGCGTGGTCAAGACTGGGCTTGGCCTCAGTCCGAATCCTAGCTCCACCCACTGCTCACTTAGGGGCTGAGGGGTGGGGATCCTCGGGAGGGTTATATATGCCCTCCAGGGTGCTCAGCCCTGGAGGCTCAGACAACAGAATCAGCCTGCAGTGCAGGAGACCTGGGTTTGATCCCTGGGTGGGGAAGATCCCCTGGAGAAGGAAATGGCAACCCACTGCAGTACTCTTGCCTGGAGAATCCCATGGACAGAGGAACCTGTGGTCTACAGTCCATAGCGTCGCAGAGTCAGGCAGGACTGAAGCGACTCACACACACAGTGTGCTCAGCGGTGAAATAAGGACACTGATGGTCCCGAGGTCATAAAGTCCTGGTGACAAATGACACCAAGCACTTAGCACAGTGAATGCACACAGCACCCTCAGCAAACCTCTCCTGTCCTGACACGAGACCTGTAACAAGGCCTCGTCTTAAGGAGCGAGAGAAGCAGCTGTATTTCTTCTCCAGCAGAAGTGGGGCGGGTGGTGATACTGGTCATAAAAGCCCAGCACTACCCCCAGCCGGGGGTTCTGGGTGCCTGGACATGGTGATTGCTCTGGCTGAGCCCGCTGCACTGGTTCAAGGGGCAGCGTCTGAGGAGGAGGTGCAGGAGTTGGAGCATCCTCCCCCCACGCCCCCNGGTGATACTGGTCATAAAAGCCCAGCACTACCCCCAGCCGGGGGTTCTGGGTGCCTGGACATGGTGATTGCTCTGGCTGAGCCCGCTGCACTGGTTCAAGGGGCAGCGTCTGAGGAGGAGGTGCAGGAGTTGGAGCATCCTCCCCCCACGCCCCCTGTCCGTCTCCCTCACCCACTGCACCAAGTGTGATCTCTCCAAGGCTCCAGGCAGCAGGAGGGACCCAGATCATTACCCCTTATTGGAGATGAGGAACAAGGCTCTAGAGGCTAAGTGAGCCGTCCAAGGTCACAGACCCGCAAAGCAGAGCAGAGTCTGCAAACAAACAGGCTTCCTTCAGGGCCCAGCCGTCCAGGGTGTGGGGCCTTCTCTGCCCTCACGGTCGGGCATCCCTGGGCAGAGGCTCTGACCACCACAGCAGGGCTTTTCCCTCACCTCAGAGAGCTGGAGTCCTTGGTTAGAAAGCCTGGCTCTCTGCCTCTGCTAAACGGCCCAGGGAGAGTCCCAGGGCTGGCAACACTGCTTAGCTCCGTCTCGGGCTTGGTGTTTCTTCTGGGGAGACGGAGCTGTGGACCCCACTTGCAGGCTAGCTGGTGGGTGGGGAGAAGTAGTGTGTACAGCCAAGGGCTTGGAACTTGTGGAAAGAAGAGCCCAAGAGGCCACTGGTGCTGGGAGATGGAGCAGCAACAGGCGGTGGGGCCAGGAGCTCCTCACCAGACGGCCCCAAACGGGGGGCTGAAAAAGCCCCACGGGGGACAGTGGATGTTCCCAGCCTCACAGAGGCAGCAGAAGCCTGGTGTGAACCCAGCTGTGGCTCACGAGGCAGTCAGGCCACAAATCCAACCAGACATGGAAACACAGGGCTCGGAGGATTAGCCCTGGGGATTAGCGGAAACCTCCACCGAAATCTGCCCTCAAGGTGGCCCAGTCTGGGGGGTCCCGTCATGTCGCAGGCAGGGTGGTGGGTCGGGGAGCAGAGGAGGAAGGGCCCACCCTGTTCAGCAAACCTCCAGCTAGGACGCCCACTAGGCCAAGGCAGCCCTCGGCCTCACTCGGGCCCATCGCAGCCTGCATCTGGCCACCTCCACCTGCTCAGAACACGCCTGCAGCACGATTTCTTGGTGGCGAGGGTTTACCAAAGGCCCTCATACAGGAGGCAGAGATGGCTTGTATTACTAGCAGCTCCAAAGGCTGCACAACCCCAGGAGGCGCCTTCTCTCAGCACACTGCCTCTCCGAGGCAGATTTTCAGAACCTGGACCTTGAGAAATGAGGCAGGACATTGGTTAGCAATCTGCCTGGAGCCCAAGGAGCACAGGGAAGGTGGGTTGAGGAAAGGAGGGTCAAGAGGGGCCCCTGGGACCCCGGCCCACTTCAACCACAGCAGCTCTACTGGGTCTGTATCTTGGGTGTCGAGCTCAAGCAGCAAACAGCACTTCTTACTTGAACAACTCACTTTTTTCAAATCCCCACTTCTTCCCTTAAGCTGCTAACAAGTCCCTGGAGAACGGGGTGGGGGTGGGGGTGGCACCCCCCAGGGGCTGATGCCCGGGGCTCCTCCCAACCCCCAACCCAGCGCTTGCCCCCCTCTGCCTCCTTCTAGTCGGGAGCAGGGAGGAGGGCCCTGCTTCTCTCAAGTATCCTCAATTCTCCAAGGCTGCAGGCTTTGGGAATGGAAACTGAATTACAGAAAAAGACACAGTTCTCAGCCCTCCTGAATTTATGGACTCAGATTCATAGCCCTTCAAGGAATTTTATACGTTACAGTTCACTTAAGATTTATTTCTTCAGAGAGCTCTGCAAGGCAAGAAGGCAGGGAAAGCTCAGCAAGAAAGCAGCACTGACGGGGAGTTTCAGGGGAGGGGAAGCTGCAGGGGGAAAGGCCAGTGGGGGACACATGCACAAACCACACAGGAAGACCGGGGGCACTGGCAAGCCCCTGGGGGCGGGGGCCCTAGAGCAGCCAGGCCTGGGTAGCCCCTCCCCTGCCCAGGCCCCAGAGGAGCCACTGGGAGCTAGATTCCTCCTTCCCAGTCTATGGAAATGAAGACCTTGAGAAGGAAGTCCTGTTTGAACAGCATAAAGCTCCCCTGGGAGAGTCTGTGACAAAGCCACCAGCTCCTTCCAGGGCACAGGGTCGGAGGGAAAGGCTCTGTCCCCCGTAGCACACAGGCTCTCAGCAGGGACAGGAACATTTCCACCTCTCCCCGAGTCTCCCCCACATACACCCCAAGCTGGGCTGCCCTGGCCCGGGCTTTCAGGAAGCACCTCCCAAACCTGCCTTCCTCCCCCAAACCACCAGACCCAGGAGGAGGACCCTAAATGAAGGGTGACAAGTCTGGTCCCAGGGCGTGGGGAGCCCTCAAGCTCACCCAGCCTCTCTCTGACCTTTGATGATCAGCCCGCTGCAGGCCCAGAGCCCTCAGGCATCCGGTGCCACCCCTGCCCCCCAGCAGGGCCTCCACACAGACCCAGGGCTCAACCGGCCACAGCTCAAGACCGCGACTCACCAAAAGCAGGGCATCCTCACCCTATGTGCCCCGAGTGGCCAGTGCCAAGGCCTCTGCTTTCTGAGGTGAGTGTCCTGAGGTTAGAGGCTGTGAGAGCCTTGGCAGGCTGAGGGAGGCTGAGCAGCCTCTGGTCCGAGCCCCCGGGCCAGGGAGACCTGCACCCCAGCTGTCCTGACACAGCCCATAGCCTCACTGGCTGTTCTTGTCAGAGGACTGCCCCACCCCACTCCACCCCCAATAGGCCAGCATCTAAGAGTGAGCCAGTTATCCAAGCATCAGTCAAGGGACCCAACTCCAGGCTTTACCTGGCCCACTGCCCCTGCTCTCAGAGGCTGCAGGGAAAAGGTTAGAAACCACCCTCCAAGGTCAAATGCCCCCCTCTGCCCATTTCACCAGGCCCAACCACTCCCAAACCACCTTCACCATGTCTTCCAGATCTACATGCAGCCGTACTACGCATGTCTTTATGTGGACACACTTTTACTTAAATTTCTTTATTGAAAACGCCACCACAATAAGTAGAATACCAGTACCACGTGTCATAAATAAAAGGTAGCCAATAAAAATATACCATTAAAATGGAACGGAGCTATAAAAGTTTGGAAACTTTTCCCACTAAGCCCCAGGCCTGCTCCTTAGTAACGGGGAAGCCAGCCCATGTTCTGGGCATGAAAACACATTGGCACCTAGCAGACACTTTCTTCTTGGCATAAAAGGATTGGAAGAGAATTGGAAAGAGAATCCCTCTCTTGCTGTGACTTTGTGCTTAATGTCTGACATAAACGCATCTCAAGGGAATGAAGTGGGGATCACCCGATCCTTTGGGAATGTTGGACTAGAGGCTCCCTCTGCCTCTTGCTTAACACAATGTGCACACAGGCTCTCTGAGCACACCCTCACGGCACCGGTGTGGAGCTCCTCCCCACGTGCCTGCTCTCACACCGAAGCCCCGCAGCTCCCCCTCCCACACACCTGCCCCCAGCAGCCCCCAGAGGTCACCGCTGACTCAGGTGGGACACCAGGTAGATGAGGCCCACCAGCAGGAGTCCGCGCACGCCGAGCATCATGAGCAGGAAGAGGAGCAGGATGGAGGTCACCGGCTCCACGGCGTGGTTGCCCAGATGCCACTGTGGGAAGCCCATGTTGAGCAGCTGCCGGTTGAGGTCATTGAAGGGGGACTGAGCGGCACCCAGCCTGGCACCTGCCTGCTGCTGGCGGGGGCCGGGACCCCCCAGGGAGGCACCGTGGCCCCTATTGAGAAAGCTCTGCAAGGTGAAGACAGAGAGAGACGAATGAATCCAGAGAAAGCTTCCCTGGAGTTGAGGCAATGGAGGCAGGAGGATGCCTGCCCTCCCCTAAGACCACCTGGGGCCACACCCTCCTTTCTCAGCAATTAAATGCTACCCACGCAAAGCCCAACCACTGAGTCACAAGCTCTCAGAGCATAGGAAATGCCAGTCCATGTTCCCTACGTCACGTGAGAGACAGTAGAGGAAGGAGGCAAGGAGGTGAGACTGTGGGGCAGGGCTTCTGGGAGGACGTTTTTAACCTGCTCCTTCCTTCTTTTCAACTCATCGTGCGGCCATGGGCTCATCTTCACTTATTCTCCAGCTTCTCTCTCACCCAACAGACTCTAAAAGATGCTGGTTCCAGTGGGGGTTGCTGACCAGATTAAGGGAGAGAGCTCTTGGGTTTGAAGTCTGGGAAGGCTGCTTGGAGGAAGGAGAGCTGGGGAGGCATGGGGCTGGGAAGTAAATCTACTGGGGTTCTCCCCAAGCCTTAAACCCCCAGGGTGCCCAGCCCTGCTCTCTATAAACAGGGCTTCAGTACAGAGAAGGTTAATCACCAGCAAGGGAGCCTCTGGGAGAGAAGAAGCAACTGGTACAGTGGACAGGAGACCAGCTGCTCTCATCCACAGGGCTGGGTGCCTACCTGTCGAGGAGTGCTACTGCGTGGCTGGGTAGTATTCCTCACGCGGGGGTCATCATCCTGCACAATTTCCCCATTGGCCAAGATCCGAACCATCCTTCCAGGCTGCACCTTTCCCCAGGCCTCAAAACACCTAAAGGAAAACATTCACCAAAGAGATGCTTGCTTTCAGTGAGAAAAACTGCAATTCTGGGTGCTCACGTTGGTGACCCAGGCTGAGCAGATGGTGTGTCTATTTAATAAAAAGAAGAGAAACAGATACTAGCTGTTTGAAAGAGCCCACGAGGAAATCTATCAAAAGGACCCTTGGAGGGACTTCCCTGGCAGCCCAGTGGTTAAGACTCCTCACTTTCAATGTAGGGGGCATGTGTTAAGTTCCCACTTGCTGCAGGGAAAAAAAAAAAAAAGATCCTTGGAGAAGGAAGTTTTATTATCAATCACCACCGCCAGCAACAACAAAGGAGATGTCAACCCTTGCTCATCAAGTCCACCCAGGCTCATCTCACTCACACCTCCCAACAGTCTTCTAGGGCTGCAACAGCTAGTGACCCAGAGGGGCTTACCTCACTCACCGAGGACCACCCATTCATGGGCAGCAGAGAAAGAGCATGAAACCAAGAACTCTGGCCCAAGGTCCCTCTCTGCTTACTAAGTATGGAGTTCAGTGTCTCCATTTCCCTTCCGGTAAACAACGGTCCAGTGTGCTGTTCCCTCGGGGAGATGCTAGGGACTCAGGCCCTCTGCCTGCAGGAGACAGGGCCCACTTCAGAGCTACTTTCCTGCAAAGCGCTTACCCTCAGCTGTCCCTCTCAGGTAACACCAGGAGGGCGGGGCCGCCTTCCCGAAATACAGGATGGGGGGATGCTGCTGCGGATCCAGGAGGGGAAGGGGGGAAGGGAGAAAAGGAGGGGGTAGGGCCCCAAGGGAGTCCATGGCTGGAGGTGGGGGTCCTTCCACGCTTCGCCCCGAGTCTGGGTAGAGGCTATTATTTCTCAGAATATGAGCCACAGTTTTCGTCTATAAATTTCCAAAAGCACTCGTGACACAGACGCCAAAGGGGGTTAAGAGCCCTTGTTCCCTTGCCCAAGGCATGGACAGGCAGATCCCCTTTTTGAAGCCTCCTGGCCCGAGCAGATAACCAAGAAGGCCCAAGGGCCCTCCGCAGTCCCTTTGTGCTTCGCCCTCCCGCCCGCTGGCTGGGCTGAGGCTGCGGCGGGCCCTTCCAGGGCCTGACACCAAGGGAGGCGGGGGTGGGGGACGGGGACGGCCGGGCGCGCCGCCGGGGTGGGAGGGGCCGCTGCCCGGGCCGCGGAGCCCGACTCCGAGACCAGGCCCAGGGGAAGGGCGGCATGCACCCTCGCTCCCCCGGCCCAGGGCCTCGGACACTCACCTGCGGGCGCGGCTCCGGGCCTCGGCGGCGTCCACTCCCCGCGGCTCCCAGGCCGCTTCCTCCTACCTGACCTCACAGGAAGCGCGCGCCGCAGCCGCACGGCCCCGCAGGTGGCGCGGCAGCTCCCTCTGCAGGCCTCTGGGGGAACTGCAGCTGCCGGGACCCAGGCGGCGCAAGAAGCGGGAGGAGGGAGAAACACCCGGCAGAAGTGGAACCGAAAGAGGACCGGGTGCACCTCGGAGCTGGGGGAGAGGGAGACGAGTGCGGAGGAGGAAGGGAAGCAAAGAGAAGGGAGAAGAGGAGGAGGAGGAAAAGCTAGGATGTGGGGGAGCCTCTGACCTGGGTGGCACAGGCTCAGCCCGCCGGTATGAGCTGCTGAGCCTTTAAGTAGGACCCACCCTTGCCCTCAAGGAAGTCCAACCCCACTTCAAGTGTGGAACTTCTGGAAATGAAAGGCAAAGAAGAAAGTGAAGGCAAAGGCTTAGTCGTGTCCGACTCTTTGCGACCCTATGGACTATATGGTCCATGGAATTCTCCAGGCCCAGAATACTGGAGAGGGTAGCCTTTCCCTTCTCCAGGGGATCATCCCAATCCAGGGATTGAACCCAGGTCTCCCGTATTACAGGCGGATTCTTTACCAGCTGAGCCACAAAGGAAGCCCGAGAATATTGGAGTGGGTAGCCTACCCCGTCTACAGCAGATCTTCCCAATCCAGGAATCAAACCAGGGTCTCTTGCATTGCAGGCGGATTCTTTACCAACTGAGCTCTCAGGGAAGCCCTGGCAAAGGAGAAAAGGGAAGATATATCTATCTGAATACAGAGCTCCAGAGAATAGCAAGGAGAGATAAGAAAGCCTTCCTCAGTGATCAGTGCAAAGAAATAGAGGAAAGCAATAGAACAGGAAAGACTAGAGATCTCTTCAAGAAAATTAGAGGTACCAAGGGAACATTCCATATAAAGATGGGCACCATAAAGGACCGAAATGGTATGGACCTAACAGAAGCAGAAGATATTAAGAAGAGGTGGCAAGAACACACAGAAGAACTATACAAAAAAGATCTTCATGACCCAGATAACCACGATGGTGTGATCACTCACCTAGAGCCAGACATCCTGGAGTGTGAAGTCAAGTGGGCCTTAGGAAGCATTACCATGAACAAAGTTAGTGAAGGTGATGGAATTCCAGCTGAGCTATTTTAAAATCCTAAAAGATGGTGCTGTTAAAGTACTGTACTCAACATGCCAGCAAATTTGGAAAACTCAGCAGTGGCCACAAGACTGGAAAAGGTCAGCTTTCATTCCAATCCCAAAGAAGGGCAATGCCAGTGAATGTTCAAACTACCACACAATTGCACTCATCTCACATGCTAGCAAAGTAATACTCAAAATTCTTCAACAGTACACAAACCGAGAACTTCCAGATGTTCAAGCTGGATTTAGAAAAGGCAGAGGAACCAGAGATCAAATTGCCAATATCCGATAGATCATAGTGAGTTCCAGAAAAAGCAAAAGAGTTCCAGAAAAACATCTACTTCTGCTTCATTGACTATGCTAAACCCTTTGACTGTGGATCATAACAAACTGTGGAAAATTCATAAAGAGTGGGAATACCAGACCACCTTACCTGCCTCCTGAGAAATCTGTATGCAGGTCAAGAAGCAACAGTTAGAACCAGACATGGAACAACAGACTGGTTGAAAATTGGGAAAGGAGTACGTCAAGGCTGTATATTGTCACTTTGCTTATTTAACTTATATGCAGATGGACTGGATGAAGCACCAGCTGGAATCAAGATTTCTGGGAGAAATATCAATAACCTCAGATATGCAGGTGACACCACCCTTATGGCAGAAAACAAAGAAGAACTATAGAGCCTCTTGATGAAGATGAAAGAGGAGAGTGAAAAAGCAGACTTAAAACTCAACATTTAAAAAAAAACTAAGATCATGGCATCTGGTCCCATCAGTTCATGGCAAGTAGATGGGTAAACAGTGAGAGACTTTATTTTCTTGGGCTCCAAAATCACTGCAGATGGTGACTACATCCATGAAATTAAAAGAGGCTTGCTTCTTGGAAGAAAACTATGACAAACCTGGACAGCATATTAAAAAGCAGAGACATCACTTTGCTGACAAAGGTTCATCTAGTCAAAGCTATGGTTTTTCCAGTAGTCATGTATGGATGTGAGAGTTGGACCATAAAGAAAGTGCAGGACAAGTGCAACTAACTGTAATGTGAAGGAAGAAGGCAGGCTTCCTAGAGGAGGTGGTCTTTGAACAGGAACCAGAACAGTAGGTAGGAGTTTACCTGTCAGGCAAATAGGGAAGGGCAGCTGGCAAAAAAGTGAACGATCAACCTCTGCCTCTTTCCCAATGTTTTCAGTCCCTGCCCAGCCTAAGCTTCTCCCAATGGACCGGTTCACCAGTGGAAGACAGTGAACTCTGCAGTCCTACAGGGTGAGTCAGACTCTGGCAAGTTACTAAACTGCTCAGTTTCCTTATCTGCAAAATGGGCTAATCAGAGCAGTTGCCTTCAGTATTGCTGTGAAGATTAAGAAGGGCTTAATTAAGATTAATTAAGAAGATTAAGAATTGAGAGTCTCTGGCACATGGCAAGTGTTGATAACTATTTGTTATGATCATCAATCAGTAAATGTTTCTGGGAGCGGATGTATATAGTGTTAGTTGTTCAGTCTTCTCCGATTCTTTGTCAACCCCATGAACTGTAGCCCTCCAGATTCCTCTGTCCATGGAGTTCTCCAGGCAAGAATACTGGAGTGGGTTGCCATTTCTGGGAGCAGATATATGCAAGGACATATATAAGGACCTAGATGCTCACTGGCCCCTAGGTGGAGGAAGAGAAAGAAGGCTGAGACTTAGACCTTGCTTCAAGGGCTCATCTTCTGCCAATATGATTTAATTATTTGATTATGAAAACTTATCAAGGGACTTTCTGGTAGTCCAGTGCTTAAGATTTCACCTTCCAATGCAGGAGGTGAGGGCTCCGACCCCTGGTCAAGTAGCTAGGATCCCACATGCCTCATGGCTAAAAAAACCAAACATAAAACAGAAGCAATATTGTAACAAATTCAATAAAGACTTTAAAAATCTTTAAGAAAAAAAGAAAACTTAGTAAAAAAATTGTTGAACAGGCCCCCTAGTATCTGTATATTATTTGTGTATTATTTATTTGTTTATAAGTTATACATGTGTACTGTGAGAGCAGATTGGTATTGTTGATAAAATGTGGATGCTAGAGTCAGCCTGGATTGGAATCTTGGCACAGCCGCTTTCTGGTGGTGGGATGGGCCAGTTACTCAACCTTTCTGGCCTCAGTATCTTCATCTGTAAAATGCATGTAGTAACAGTACCCATTTCATCAAGCTTTTGTGAAGCTCAGTGCTTGGTGTAAAGTGCTTAGATGAGAGCCTGGCCACAGTAAGTTCTCAGTAGTCACTGTCATCACTACTGCTCCACTACATTAAGTCAGTTGTAAAGCATGTACATTAGAAAAGAATGATATTTCAAATAAATATAAACTGAAATACTAATACTTTCTTCCTACAGTCTTGATGCAGGTGGATATAGCACATATGGAAGGGATGATCCAAGGCAGGATGCCCGATTGTCAGGGGTGGTCTGTGCATCTCAAAACTGTCTGCACGTTGGAATTATCTGGGGTGTTTAAAAACAATCCCGAAGCCTGAGTGCCACCCCAGAGGTGACAATGCCATTGATGTGGGGTAGAACCTGGACATGAAGAGGGTTTTTTTTGGGGGGGGTGGGGTGGCGGGGGGTGCTGCACTGCATGGCATGTGGGATTTTAGTTGCCTGAACAGGGATCAAGCCTATGCCGCCTGCAGTGGAAGTGCAGAGTCTTAAGCACTGGGCCACCAGGGAAGTCCTGAAGAGGTTTTAAGAAACAAATTTCAGCTGATTCTAGTGAACAACCAGGGCAGAGAACCACTACCTTTCATAAGTAGAGCTCCATAAGTGAGGTGACTGAGGTCACTGAGGTGACTCAGTGGTAAAGAATCTGCCTACCAAAGCAGGAGCCGCAGGAGATGTGGGTTCGATCCCTCGGTCGGGAAAATCCCCTGGAAGAGGAAATGGTAACCCACTCCAATATTCTTGCCTGGACAATCCCATGGACAGAGGAGCCTGGTGCGCTACAATCCTTGGGGGTCACAAGAGTCAGACATGACTGAGTGACCATGTAGGCACACTTAACCCAGAAGCCT